ATTACAAACTTCAATAAACGCGATGTTTGGTAAACGGTTGCTTTCTCTCATAGTCCTAGGATTACTATTGACCTTATTTTATTATTTTTTTTTTTTTAGAGTTAGGCGAGATTTGTAAAGAATGCCAGGAGAAATATTTTGCTTGTCTGGAATCTGACCAGAAAGATGAGGACGGTAAAAGTTCAAGTTATTGGAAAAGTATGGCAGAGGTAAGTAGGAGCATTGAGAGAAAAAAGAGAAGCTGTGTACAACATTTTACTGACGAGTTGGCACGTGGCATGTTGTGGCACAGTTGTGCAAAGGAGGAAATTATTTTCGAATCGATATTCTCTTCTATGCTAAAGTATTTTTTCTGGGTTCTTTATTCTATGAATAGAAATATTTTGAAGAAGCACTTCAAAAACAAGACGAAAAAATCGCTATCGCTGATAAATTCTATAATCTGGTAAGCTTTTTTTTTTTAAAAACTACCACGATTTTCAAACTAAGAAAAAACTCGATTATATATATGCACGCACATTGTCAGATCAACAGGCACTACGAGAGATTAGACGAAGAATTGGCTCGTAATAATATACATCTTGAAGGTACGTGTTTATTATCATGTTCCGATTTACCGAAATCCCGTACACATTGCTGATCATGTGACATTAACTCAATACAGGGTAGGTTTTCCAATAACGCGTTCTTATAGACTTTGTCTATTTAATACTCACTTTGCTTAATATAAAATTAATAGGGATGAAGTCCCAGAGAATGAGTTTGAGCCGCACGAGCCCGTATACTGTGTTTGCAAACGAGTACGTTTTCTACTGGTCGTAAATTAATTTGTCTTTAAATTAGATGTCAGGCAACCATTTAAAATGTTCTTCCATTAATATAAATAGCCCGAATTCGGCCACATGGTTCAATGTGATCACCCTAAAGTAATGAATGGTACTTTTTTATTTCTTTCCAAATTTATTTGCAGACAATATTAAGTTGATTTTATCAATCTATGTTGTAGTGTGAAACTGGGTGGTACCACTGGGAATGTGTTGGCCTTTCACAACAGCCATCAGGCCAGTGGTTTTGTCCGGATTGTGAATTTATGCAAGTTGTTGAGCCCAATCCCATAGATAGTATCATGCATGCCTTCGAAAGCTTTGCCATGTACTCATACCCAGGGCAGGCGATTGATGATTTCCCACTTAATAATACTTCGTTCCACTGGTTAGTATTTTATGCTACTGGTACAAGTTTCTCTTTGTCTTACAGTTAAGCTCTTTAACATTTAATCTATTTTCCAAGATAATTTTCAGGGATATATAGAATTGAGGGACCTATTTGGAATGTCAAAAAGAAAAAAAAACGCAGCAAAAAAAAAAAAAAAAAAAAAAAAATCGAAAACCATATCAAAAAGTCAAAAAAAGATTCAACTAATTAGTAATTCAACCTGCAAAAGATAAAAGCCAATTGGAATAAATGTGTGTCGATAAAGTATTGCACTCAAATTCGAGACCGAGCAAAGTTTTGAATTTGTCTGAGGTGAGGGTACATCGACTATACACAAATTAATGTTTTTATTATACACGCCACATTTCAAATATCACCAAAATAGTGTTCATGCGTATTTCCATTGGTCTAACAAATTAAGTAAAACGCGTATTATGTAAATTATTATGTATACATATAGTATAGCGATTATTGCGTACAACCATCGCATAGTAATGTATGTCATTTATTAAAATGTATATATAAAAATTTTAATTTTTATATTACTATGCTGTTACAAGATAAAGTGATGAATCAATTTTTTTTAAATTAGTAATCATGTTATCATGTTATGCAGTATCAAATATTGATCAAATTATATTAATAATAAATTTTATCATATTTCTTTATTTCTTTTTCTTTTATATTCTGTTAAATGAGACAAAAATATTTTATTGAACTTCTGTAAACTGTACATGTAACATATTTTAACTCTAAGTATAACTTTAGAAGCAATATATTACTTTACTATAAGTTCAAATAAAAATCTTTCAACCGTCAATATTACAACCTATAGATTACTATTGTAAATTATCATCACGTTTTGAAAAAGATCAAAATCCTATTATTTATACTATAATTAGCTTTATTCATTAAATTCTTGATAAATATTTTTTTATTTCAATTCATTTTTTCTCAATTTTTTTGCATAAATTTGATTTTTTAAAAAAATTTTTATTAACTATATTTTTTTATTTATTTATTTTGTTATATTTGAAAATTCTTTGAACTGATTTTTATTTTATTATTTTTTATATTTCGTATTTCAAATGTTTTTTTAAAAAAATAATTAAAAATTGTTTTCTATATAATTAAAATTTATTTTTTTATTTTTAAATAAATTACTTTATAACAATATGATGGTTCTTTTACATTTTTTATTTTATTATTTTTAAGTTTTATACAAAAGTTTAATATATTTTAATTAATTTTCAAAATATAATTAATTAATTTAAATATTTATTTCATCTATTTTTTTTAGTTCTCTTTTTTTATTTATTATTAACTGTATTTCTTTTTTTTGATTTAGATTCTTCTTTTTTATAACTTATATTAAAAATTTTTTAATATTACTTTAAATTTCTTATTTTATACTTTTTATATAAATATTTTATTATATAATTAAGTTTTTTATTATTTTCTACAAACTATATATTCTATTTATTTATAAAAATTTAATTTTTTTACAGTTAATTTCAAAAAAAACAAATAATTTATTATTTATTAATATAAAATATTTTTTAATAAATTTTTTTTTAATCTCTATTATATAAAATTTTATAAATAATACTAATATTATTTTTTATTAATATAATTTATTATATTTATTTATATATTATTATTATATTATATTATTTATTTTTTATAAATCATTTAATAAAATTATTTAAAATTATATTATATTATTTTATTTTGATAATAATCTTATTTACTATAAAATTAATTTTTTTTTACTTTATTTTTTATTTTTTTTTGATTTTTTCTATACAATATTTTATAAATAATTTTATTGATTTGCTATTTAAAAACTCTATTTATTTTTAGGTTAATTTATTTTTATTATTATTTTTTTTTTTTAACCCGCAATTATACCACAATGGCATGTCTTTATTAAAAAATTGAAAATGAATTTGCAATATTTTATAGACTTTCACAAAATGACTAACTCGTCTTTATACAAAAGTATTCTAAGTTAGATTTTGGGAACAATATTTCACTCCCCTA